GAAGAGAAGAAGAGAGAGATCTCAAATCACTAACATACGGGATGAAAATAATATTTTAAATGGCATTTTCTTTCATTTGTTCTTTCTGTCAATCAGAATGGTAAAGGCAAAGACACAAGGAGGAAGAGAACAAACTAAAATCTTGTTATATGTGAATTTTTGTGGTGGAGGAACAGTATTAGTAATCTGTTAGTTTAAGTGAATATTAGAAATATGTAAAGTGTCTTGATTAGGCTTAGTACATAATAGGAATTTTTTAAACAATGTTTTAGTTTCTTTCCTTTCTGGAAATAATTATACTATTTTTCTAATGATGTGATTTCCCAAAACTTTTGGTTAACTGTATTGTGCCATCTTTTTCTTAATGACCTTTCCCATAACCAAGGCCCCACCCCACACACACAGTCTCTGTAACCATGAACAAAGAATAGAGTCAGTTTTCTGGGCTCTCTTCCTACCCACAGTAGGAATCCTCAGGAGAACACTGCCACTTGACTTTGTATGTAAGCACTGAACTTGTTATCCTACTTATTTCATAAGTGGTATCTTCTTTCCTCTCTGTCTCCCTCAAAACATCTCATCTTGATACAAAATAGGGAGTTTCAACCTTTGAGGCGAATTTTCCAGGAGCTTATGGGTGACAGTCTGATTTACGGTATATTTATTTAGATCTGCACAATTTATGATCTTGTTTTTGCAAGCCACCATGTGTAATGTTTTGAATTCATCATGTTTTCTACCAGACAAAACATCTCGTGTTTATTTAAAATGTAATCTGTAATTCTATTAGGCTGATGTGCTGCATGTCTTGAAAAGTACCTACTAAGCATGTTCATGTTCATGCAGTAGCCCATGTTTATGAGATATATGATGTGATTTATTGAAAGCTGAACTTGGGGCCATCTAATTCTGATTATTTAGAGCATATGCAATACATCATTTTATAGATTCCTGCAAATAAAAAGCCTTTTTAAATAAATGAGTAATAAAGTTTCATCTTAATAAGACAAAGGGCCAAGAGCATTAGATCTTTATACAGCTTCATGTTATTGGATATACATCTTAAAATAAACTCAGACATTGTAAGCAGTCCTTTTAAATAAAAATTTTAGTATTGGCTCCTTGACTAATACCTTCACATCATACTTCTTTGTTCGTGGCTTCCATTGAGAGCACTAAGAATCCCACTAGCAGAACATGTCAGAATGGGTTGAGACTCCTTCCGCTTCACTGTCCATTAGTAATGACCTCTCATTTTTCTTGTAGACCATGGCAAAAGTTATAACCACTGTATTGAAGTTCCCCGATGATCAGACTCAGAAAATTTTGGAAAGAGAAGATGCTCGATTAATGGTAAGCTTTAAAAATAGACTATAGATAGGCAGTGACTTTATCTCATTTGCTTATATTGTTTCGTTTATAAAGACTTTGAGTTGATAAAAGAAATTGAAAAATTCTAAAGCTTGATTTTGCCATAGTCTGAAAAGTGAGAATGAATTTACATTAAGCAAGTTTAACCAAGGGAAATGTGAATGTTGACTTCAAGTGAAAGAGAAGTCTTCTATATTTGAGGTTGGTGCCCATTTGTGCTATGTAGGATTTCCAGAACTTGAGCTATTTATGGAAAGGATGGAAAAGGCATTTGTTTTGGTATATCGTGTAATAACTTTTTTTCAAATCAAATTATATTGTGATGAGAGATGTTTTATAGATTACACTTCTTTATTTCACTGATTTCCATATACACTAATTCTAGATAAAAGAATTTAAGCATTTTTGAGATTTTGGTGTCTTACAAGGGAAAGGTAGACAGACATCTTTAAAAGCTGTGAAATCATCTGTGATTGAAGAATGAAACAAACACATACTTCATAAATTATGTAAAATTCCCCATGCTTAATATCTTTCTGCCTTGGGCTAGTAATTCGGTAAGAACGTTACCACTTTCGGTAGAACCTGAGCTTATGAAGTTTGTGTCTGGCCCCTAGCTCTCTTTCCGCATCCTTTTTTTTTTTTTTGCTGAGCTCTCTGTAGCCTCCCCCAATCTCTTAATCTATTTCATGACCCCAGTGCTGCTTTTCTCTTATTTCCCCTCACTAAAGCAAGCAATCATCTTCTCCTTAGTGGTGGATTAGTTTATATGCGGTCCTGAGACTCGAACCCAGTGCGTCACACATTCTTTCTTATAAAGAAACCTCTCTTTAAAAGTTTCTCTAGGAATACATTTTTCTCCTTAGAGTGCTAGTAAAACTTGATGACACAGAAATCTATATATCTATTTTCTTGATGATTCCATTAAAATGTTTTTGTTCTTAAATGAACAAGGATTTGTTTTCATTACCCATCCCCTCTATTCATTTTTCACAGTTGATCTGTTGATTATTTCTGCTTTGCTTTTACACTGATCCTTCATGTTTTATCTAGTTTTTGTTTTGTTTTGCAGTGCTGGGGGTCAAAACCAGGGTCTTGAGCACGCAGGGCAAGCAATCTACAACTGAACCACAACCCCAGCCCTTGTGTCTAGTTCTTGATTAGTTCCTGTTCTAAACCCATCTTATACTGTGTCATACTTTTCTCTCTTTATTTGAAATTTTTAAAGTCTCCCCTAAATTAATAAAATCATCAAGATTTTTCAGCATTTTTTAGGTACAAAGATTTTTCATGCCAGCATGAGGTTTACCTTTCCCTTTGTGTATAAGAAGATGCATCAAAGTGGATTTGGAAAGAAAAAAAAAAAAGGCTTATAGTGAAAAATACTACATGTGGAATCCATATTTATAAATATAGATTTATTATTGTGAATGTGCGTTTGACTCTGATGTTGGATACGGTACAATAGGATCATTACAAAAAAAGAAATTGTGAAGAATTCAGAAACATAGAGTCCTTCATGATGTTCAGCCTACACCTACATACTTTCCACCATGCCAAGATCATCTCTGCTAATGATGTGAATAGCTCCATTTTTTCCCTAAACCTTACAATTATTCCTTTATCACTTATCTTATAAAAATGGGTGTGCAACAACTTGATTTTTTTCACTTAATATGTCATTTTATTATCTCAGCTCATTACAAATTGATCTACCTCATTCTTTTTTAATGGCTGATTCTATGATTATATAGATTCTATATAACATATAGCCATCCTACAGTTTAGTTCACTGGTTTCTTAATCACTTAGGTTGTTTTTAGACACAGGGAATATCCTACATATATTCTGCGTACTTCACAAGTTTTCCTATAGGATATTAATCTTATTTGTTGTCTGTGTTGCAAAACATTATTTTCGAGTTTGTGTTTTGATTTTGCTGCTTTCTACTAACTTCACATTAAATGTAAAATATAATTAAAATGATACTTCCCGAGTTGGTAATACTCAGCTTTTATAAACAGTCTTTGTTTTTGGTGTTGCCATTTTTAAAGCAAACCACTAATTAATGATTTTTTGGATTATGGCCATTCAAAAATAGGACATAGAATCTTTTAGTTTGCAGTGGTAAAAAACTATATTTGAGATTGAGTTCCTTTAAATTGAAATTTTAGCATTGGTCATCATTCTTGAAACTGATTTTGTTCTTTTCTGTTGAATTATAAGAGTAATTTAGTGATGAAATTGACAATTTTAGGAATGAAAATTTAATATATATATATATATATATATATATATATATATATATATATATATATATATATAGCTATAAACTCATCAGCATGTTGCCAGGTACTTTTGAGAATAAACTAAGATTATGTAAATCAAATTTTAATGTATAGTTTAATGGAGTTATTTTTAAAACCCTTTTATAATGAAATAATCACTCCCTAATTTATATACTGGTTAAATATGTACTTAAAGTATCAAGTGCACCTTTCATTATGTTTAAATTTTTTAATGAAAGTTGCAAATAAAATCTGAACTACATAATATTATTTTTAGTATGGGGAGTATTACACATTCCTTATATGTTGCCTGAATATCTTGATTTGGGGAGATTTGAGAAAAATTTAAGTACAGTCTATTTAATCCTGTAAACTTCATATTCACATATAATCTATGTGTTCTACTAAGTCTTAAAACTAACCCAATAAGCTTTTTTTTCTTCCTGGCTTTGTAGTTTACTTCACCTCGCAGTGGTATCTTCTGAATAAACCCATCAGTCTGTGCTTAGTTAGCATGTGGTGAGTGGAGAATAAAATGTCTTGTGTCTTTTGTGTAAATCAAATGTATTGCATGGTACTAACCATTTTGCTGAAATTCTTTTACTTTCATTTAATGAACATATGATTATGCTTTGGGTTAATATAAATATTTTCTGCTAATTCTGTTACATAGATTAATAATACATAGATTAATAGTCACCAGCAGTGTTTTTTAAAATTAATAAAGATTGTGAAGAAGAAATTTTTTAAAATAATCTTTTAGATAAAAGTGACATATTTCACAAATCCAGAATTAAAAATACTATAGAGCTTAACTACAGTCAAGGCCAGATTTGAAATAATGAAAACTACTAAGGTTAATTAAAAATAAAATTAGATTTATTCCTTTTGGGGATCATTCAGTTCAACATAAGATGACACATTTGTTCTGAAGATACTCTTAAGGCTGCTCACTTTAACTGAATGTGGCTGTTTCTGATTATTATTGCAGGGAAATGTGAGCATCTAAAATGTTCCACAAAGTTAACTGTTTTTTTCCCTTTAAAACCCTTCTCCTCCCTTCCACACGTTATTCTTTTAATTTGTTCTTTTTAGTATACATGATAGTAGAGTGTATTTTAACATACATACATGGAGTCTAACTTTTTCTAATTAGGATCCCATTCTTGTGGTTGTTCTTGATGTGGAGTTACACTGGTTGTGTATTTTCACATATTATTCTTGCTATTAACTTGATTTAACACCCCCTTAAACAGGGTACATCTTTAACTCTGACTTTGCCATAATTTTCACAGATCACAAGTAAGTTGGATCCCAGTTAATAGCACTTAATTAATTTAAAGCTGTGATTGTTGATTCAGCCAGTACTTACCGAACAGTATCAAGGCCTTTCTTTTTTTAAAACTTTAAACCTTAAAAATCCTTTGTGCCTATGTTTGGATCTCCTTTTTGATTTTATTGTATATCATTTAATTTGCCTTAGTGATATCTAGAACTATCTGTCTACATTATGGTGGCTAGTAGTGAAATGCATGGTTCCATTAGGTTACTTTTAAAATATATGAATATTGAATTAAAAAGTAAATTCTATGTCTAATCCATGAAGTCTTATATTTTCTTTTTTTGTATAATAAGTACCACACTTATTATATTATTGAAGTTAAATACTATCACTTATCATTGGAAATGTATACTGCATAATATTTTATTGATTACCTGATTGCTCAACTTTTAGTTTGAAACATTTTAAATTTTTCAAAAATAGTGTAATGAACACCCATATACCCTTTACCTAGATTAGCCAGCTATTATCATTTTGTCAAATTTTTGTACTCTGACTCTTGATCCTATATATGTTTTTCCCTCTTTGTAACATTTTATAGTTACTTTTTGACACTTGCAAACATAAACAAATACTTTAAAATGTATCTTTAAGAAGAAGGATGTTTCCCTAGTACTACAATGTAATTATCACACTCAGGAAACATAATATTATCTAATATATAGTATTCATATAGTGTCTATATGAATTACCATTATATATGGTATTACCAGTTTTTCAAATAATGTCTTTCATAATTTTTAAAAATCCTGGATCCACAAAGATTGTACATTGCATCTAGTTGTCATATTTTTCTCGTATATTTTATTTTATTTATTTTATATACACACCCCCCACACACAAACACACACATATATTGTGGTACCGGGAATTGAACCCAGAGCACTTGCCACTGAGGCACAACACCATCCCCTTTTATTTTTTATTTTGACACAGGGTTTCACTAAGTTGCCTAAGCCAGTCTGGAACTTTGGATCCTCCTGCCTAAGCCCCCTGAGTAGCTGGATTATAGGCGTGCATCACTGTGCCCAGCTTCTGGTTTTCTTTTAAACTAGAAAATATCTCTTGGCCCTTTTGTATTTTATGACATTGATATTATACTACATTGTTGAATCATCCAAGAATTTAGTTTCCTACAATAGCTCTATCTAAGGGTTCAAAATAATAACTGACAAAGGAATTATTAAATAACAGCAAAAGATATTTTTCATGTCTTCTTTAGGTTCCTAGAACCAACAAGATTATTGAATTAAATAACACACTATTCGGAGTATGTCTTGAATAGTGGATCATAGTGTTCATTTCCAAATTGAGAAGACTTTAAAACTTCCCCTTTCTGTTCAATATATATGAAAAGTTTATATCTATTACTTAATCTTACTTGGTCATTTATTGTATTTTATTTTATTTTAAATATTTCGTTATCAATGGATCTTTATTTTATTTTAATTTTAGAGAGAGAGAGAACTTTAATATTTATTTTTTTAGTTTTTGGTGGACACAACATCTTTATTTGTATGTGGTGCTGAGGATCAAACCCAGGCCGCACACATGCCAGGCAAGTGCACTACTGCTTGAGCCACATCCCCAGCCCTGGACCTTTATTTTATATATTTGTACATGGTGCTGAGAATCAAACCCAGTGCCTCACACATGCTAGTCAAGCGCTCTACCACTGAGCCACAACCTTTATTTTTTATCTTTTTAATATTTTTAATTGTAGATGGACACAATATCTTTATTTATTTTTATGAGGTGCTGAGGATTGAACCCAGTGTCTCACGCATGCAAGGCAAGTGCTTTGCTACTGAGCTACAGCCCCAGCCCCACAACCTTTATTTTTATGACATTTTAAACCTTATACTTGATTTGACACTGGCTTTTTGTATTTGAATCTGAAAAACTTTCCTAGGAAGATTTTGGCTTCATTTCTCATAGCATTTTAAATTTTATACATTATGTTTATTAATTCCAGATGAAGTTTAGCTTTTCACACTTTTTTTTTTTTTTTTTGCTGCCATGTACATCATGCTGAAAGAATTGCAGTATGTACAAAAATCAACATATTGAGAGAGAGGGATAAGCTCTTTGTCCCTTGTAAATTCTGTTTGAAGAGCTGCATCTTTGTGGTAGGTAGTCTTCCACATCAGTCTGGTACTCTGGCATTCTTTTCAGCTTGTTATGTGGTGGAAGGTTGCAGCTCCAAATTTCACCTGAAAACACCGTTTTCCAGGATTGCTAACTCTGTCCGTTAGTTTGAATCATTCCAGTGACATTAATTTCTAGAAGATTCCATTGGGATTTAATTTTCAGAATATTTCTACTTATTTATTGCAATCCCCAGACTCTAGATGTTGTTTTATTTTAACTTAAAAAAACAAGTCTCCCAAAAATTAGACCTTAAAAGGCTGGGTTTTTCTTTCTTTCTTTCTTTGTTATCCACCATCATTTCCTTTTTCTTTTCCAGTCATGGCTCCGATCTTCATCTTGAAGAAATGGGGAGAGTGATTTGGGGCAACTGCTGCTCTGAAACTTTTCACATTTGCTCCTCTTTGATAATGAAGCTGTCATTCAGGGTCCCTCATACAGCTGGAAGACTAAGAAAAATCTGACATTGACCCACAGATATATTGCAGACTGCTTTTTAAATAGATTTTTATCAGTGGAGATATGGTAATAGTTTTTTGTTTTTTTTTTTCAGTTTCTGTTGGGAAGAGTTTTATGTTGTTTAAAAGATATTTTGAATAACTTAACTTGATTTATGGACTCAATAATGTTTCTTTCTTCCATTTTTTTCTCCTCCCTTTAAAGAATTGCTTGTCTTTCTTATTTATTTTTAGAGTGATTTTTTTTTTCTTTTTTAAAGACTTGTGCAATACATTTTGAGATGAAACAGCAGATTTTTAAAAATAATTAAAGCATTTAATTGACTATTACCTAGATTGATTTGTTGACTATTTGTTAAAGACTAGTTCTTTAAGCTATGTACACATGATAAATCCCAAATGGCAGTACCTCATTGTTTACTTAGCTTTTGTACTTATATTTTTCAGAGGAAAAAATACTACTGTAAATTGTAAATAGTCAATACATAATGGTATTGTACACGAATCTGTGACTGGCAATGTCATCTTGGAGGAACAGACAAATAAAGTTTATTTACTATATAACATTTCTTATTGTATTGCTTTCTAAGTTGAAATCTCTTTCAAAATGGTTAAGAATCCTTGTTCTATTTGGATGGAGGTATATAATGAGGAACTATTAGAATAGCTATAAGCTGAGCATTTAGAATGATTTCTTATGTTCAAAATTAGTCCAAACAAAATAGAAGGTGTATGGAATCAAGAACCTACTCCCTGGTGTTTGTTTAAGATTCTGCCAACTTGGGAATGCCACCTCTCTCTGGAGATCATAGCTACTTTTTAATCTTGTGGACAAATTCCTGGACAGAAAAGTTGGGAACAACTCAAAGGGTTTCATATACCCTTCATACTCTAGGAAACATTGTCCCATGATAGAATCTCAGTACCCAGCCAGCCTGGACCCTAGTTTTCCTGGTGTGTATTATTTTGTGATAAAGAATGGGAAGCTCTGGGTGAGGAGATGCTGAGCAGTGGGGTCCACCATGTCCTGCAGCCAGCTCCTTTAGTGTACTTGTAAGGGAACAGGGTCATCTTACATTTTTTCAAAAAAATTATAGTTATATTGGCAAAATTCCGTTCCACTAAACAATTTCTGACAACAGACATGACTTCTTATCCTTTTTACACCTTTTTCTAGGCTAGAAATGGCAGCTTCTCAGTGAAATCCATTTACAACTTTCTATAATTTTTCCTTAACTCATTTATGGAAACAACAATGCACAAATCAGTGAATCAGCAAGTTTTTCCATAAAGGACCAGAGAGTAAATATTTTTGGTCTTCCAGGCCACATAGTTTCTGTTGCAGCATCTCAACTCTTTCATTGCATTGCAAAAGCGCCATGGATAACGTGTAAATGAATGAGCATAGTTGTGTTCCAATAAACCGTTTTACATAGCAAGCTGCTGACTGGATTTGGCTTGTAGACTATAGTTTGCTAACCCCTGAGAAAGCAAACAAGCTAGATTATAAACATGGAGTGAAAGGAGGAGTGACAATCAGTTAATATATAAAGAGTTGCCCATTTTTCCTCAGTGCAGGTATGCAGCTCTTCCTTCAGGTAAGGGTATAGCAATCTCACATCACCTTAATGAAGATTTGTGGTCACATTCTTTCAGTGTTACTTGTTCCGATGAGAAAGATGAAGCTTTACATTGTGCTCGGTGTCACCACATTAAGCCCACCTGGGTTCTTTTCTTAAGTACCCTATAACTGTTGCTGATTGATACTGGGGGAAATGACACAGTTTTTCCAAGAGTAGTTACAGGACATGCTTGCGTAATGGATTATGGTTTGCTGAGTATTTTGTCTTTTACTATCTCATCCCTGCAGAATAGGAAAAAAGTCTGTGATGGCAGGCTTGGCCCCACGCCATAGAGGGAAAAGCTGTGATCCTGGCACTAAAATCCAGATACTGGGACTTGGAACCGAAGGCTATGAAAATGTCTTGCCAAGAAGCAAGCATTTCACTTTGAAAAGTATTATTAGTGCTATTAAGATGTTACCTCTTTAAAGAAAAAAGTGTAAGCTTTTCAAAAATCTTGTAGTCACAAAACAAAAAACAAATAAACCAATTCCTACCTTGTAGAGTGAGTAGCACACACAGGCCATGGTGGTCTTCTCTCTTCCCTGCAACACAGCCCAGAAGAGTTGCCTCACCTAGTATGGCTTCCTCATCCTCTACAGACCAGGGCCAGAAGCAGTCAACTACTATGTTCAGATTGAATTTTTTTCTTTAAAAAAGCAAACAGAAGGTGAGAAAACTTTTTTTTTTCCTGATTCTGAAATTCAGGCTCATTCTCGATGAAATTTTTACATTTAAAATTTTAGAACATATGGGCTGGGGGTAGTGGTACATGCCTGGAATCCCTGCAACTCAGAAAGCTGAGGCAGGAGGATTACAAGTTTGAAAAAAGACTTAGCAATTTAGCAAGGCCCTGTCTTAAAAAAAAGGGGGGGGGGGGACCAGGGATGTAGTTCACTGGTGAAGCACCCCTAGGTTCAATCCCCAGTGCCCTCCCCAATTTTAGAATATTTGAGTAGTACATTTTTTTTTTTTTTTAAAGAATCCTCCAGAATGTTGTACCAGGAAGTCACTGTTACTACTTGAGTGCATTAAATCATGGGAGTCTTTTTCTTTCTTTTTTTTTTTTTAATTTTTTATTGTTGGCTGTTCAAAACATTACATAGTTCTTGATATATCATATTTCACACTTTGATTCAAGTGGGTTATGAGCTCCCATTTTTACCCCATATACAGATTGCAGAATCACATCAGTTACACATCCATTGATTTACATATTGCCATACTAGTGTCTGTTGTGTTCTGCTGCCTTTCCTATCCTCTACTATCCCCCCTCCCCTCCCCTCCCCTCCCCTCTTCTCTCTCTGCCCCCTCTACTGACATTCATTTGTCCCCCTTGTATTATTTTTCCCCTTCCCCTCACTTCCTCTTGTATGTACTTTTGTATAACTCTGAGGGTCTCCTTCCATTTCCATGCAATTTCCCTTCTCTCTCCCTTTCCCTCCCACCTCTCATCCCTGTTTAATGTTAATCTTCTTCTCATGCTCTTCGACCCTACTCTGTTCTTAGTTACTCTCCTTATATCAAAGAAGACATTTGGCATTTGTTTTTTAGGGATTGGCTAGCTTCACTTAGCATAATCTGCTCTAATGCCATCCATTTCCCTGTAAATTCTATGATTTTGTCATTTTTTAATGCAGAGTAATACTCCATTGTGTATAAATGCCACATTTTTTTTATCCATTCATCCATTGAAGGGCATCTAGGTTGGTTCCACAGTCTAGCTATTGTGAATTGTGCTGCTATGAACATCGATGTAGCAGTGTCCCTGTAGCATGCTCTTTTTAGGTCTTTAGGGAATAGACC